AGTCAATTGGTGATTAAGCTTTGATGAAAGAAAATAAACCATTATATCAAGTACGTTAGACTAGTTTTTCAAGACAAGTTATAAGTAAAAACCAAGTGAATAAAATCAAGATTATTCCCTAGTTGCATAGATTGCTATAGCCTCATGGCGTTTAATAAGTAGTAGAAAAGAAGAAAAAATTTCTTTATTTTTTATAAGATCCTCTTGTTTGCATGGCCAATTGAGGTTATATCTATGAGCAATGGTTTTTATTTCTAAACGTTCTGTTTCAAGAGCGATACAGGTAAAAATATAATGTTCGACGCTGTCCGGTTGACCGCATATGGCACACTGATCATTTTGCTTATTCACAAATCGATGTAGATATTTTGAAAATTTACCATGCCCGGTAAGAAACTGAGTAAGTGAGAAGCTTGGAATTACCCATTTATAATTGTTGTGATATTTCTTGATGTTAGGTATGAATTTATAAGTCGTGTCATTATGTTTGCAATCCCAGTTGTGTTGCCATCTGCTTAATAAATCTTCGTATAAAAGTTTTTTAATACTTCTTCTACAAATCTTATCATACATGATGTCTAATGAATCGTCAGTAGCGGCTTCCTTCGCTAATTGATCCGCACGTTCATTTCCTACCGTACCTTGGTGTCCTCTAGTCCAAGATATGGTATAGCTATTATGAGAATTGCTGATTATGTTGCGAATATTAGTTGCAACCGGATGTAATTGTTGACTGTAAATGACCTGTATCGCAGAGAAGGAGTCACTTAGAATATGGATGTACTTTCTAGTAAAATTCTGCTCGGTCCATAGGGTAGCCATGTAGATCGCAAGTAATTCAGCTTGGAATACAGTGCAAAGTTTATGCAGTTTTCCTTTTTGATTGTAGATTTCCATTTCGTTACAGTATGCTACGAAAGCACATCCAATGGAGTCGTTTATGCCAGAGCCATCAGTGTATATCTTTAAATCGGAATAGCTAGGCAGATCAATGCTAAGAAAATTGTTGATATTAGGCGGTAGACTGGTATTGATGGGACTTTGATGTTCATAAACACTGGAACTAAGGTCACATGTGGATGTAGATATATCGATTCCCATTTTGAGTTGTTGGAGATTATATTCCATTTGAATAATCTCAGTTATTGGTGGTTTTCTAGAAATTACTTGCAAACTACAATTAGGAGCTGTCCGGTATGCCCTAGTTAATAAAAGTAGAGCTTTTCTTTGAGATGATATCAATTTCCTGTGGAGATGTACTTTGTGAATAGCATTACCCCAACTACAGCAACCATATGTTATGATGGGGATATAAATTTGATCATAGATGATACCAATTGCCTCAGAAGATAAACCCCAGTTTTTACGCGCTATTTCAGAAAAAGCGTGAAAAATGAGAGAAGTTCTTTTGGCTACATATGAAATGTGTTCATCCCACCCAAGCCTGAAATCCAGCCATACTCCTAGGTATTTGATGCACTTTTCAATTTTTATTGACTGATTATTCATTTTTATTGTAGGCTTGCGAAGATATAAATTTGGTTTTCTTGGTTTGTTGAATACAATACCGGTAGTTTTTGCAGGATTAAATTTCAGCTTATGTTTAATTCCCCATTGATGAATCTTTGCAAGAGTATCATTTCCACGTTTTTCCAAAATTGCTCTAGACCGCCCGCCAATCATTATTAAAACATCATCCGCGTAAGCTGTTGTTGCATCTTGCCCAAAGTTTTCATCAAAAAAGGCATTGAATGTTAGATTCCATAATAACGGACCACAAACAGATCCTTGGGGGCATCCACAGACAATTTCTCTTTCCGTCGTGTGTCCACCGTATTCAAGAATGGCTTTACGAGTGCTTAAATAATTTACAAATAGATTATAAATGTCAGCTGGGCAGGCTGTATTTCTGATTTGATGTAACACAAACGGCCACCAGGCACTGTCGAATGCTTTGGATATGTCTAAGCTAATAGCCAAGACATACTTGTTATATTCAAGTAGGCTTTTAATATTATGTACTACATGAATTAGTGCGTCACTGGTGGAAATTTGCTGTCTAAAGCCAAATTGCATGTTGTTAAGTATGTTATTTTTCTCAACCAACCAGGTTAATCGATCTGTTAATAGACGTTCAAGTACTTTACCAAAAATTGGCAATAGAGAAATTGGTCTTGTTTCACTGGGCTTATTTGGTTTAGGGACAGGTACTATTTTCGCAATTTTCCATCTGGCTGGAAAAATGCCTGCGAATAAACATACATTATATAATTGTACAAGTTGTTGTGGAATCATTTCCCAAATATGTTTTGCAATTTTGGCAGTTATACCATCAACGCCTGGAGATTTTCCTTCTTTTAGTCTACCGATGGCGTTATTTATTTCCTGATAAGTAAACTGAGAAGAGTTACCAGTGTTCATATGTTTGTTTATGTTTTCTCTTAATGATCTCTGCCAAGGGGTGTCCTTTGCAGCGCAGTCTGAGATACAATAGCTATCCATTCGCTGCTTCAGGGTGTTTAAAAGGGTTGTATCAATAGTTGATTGCGTTATTGTTTCAGGGTCATTATTTATTAGTATTTGTTGCTTTCGTAATTTATTCGTACATAATTTAGTAAGGTATCCCCATGGGTTGGATGAGGCAGCAGTACAATAATCTTGCCAAGATTGTATTTTCGCATTCTTTATTTTTCTTTTATAGAAGACTTGATGTGTATAATATTCTTGTTTAAATATAGTACGATTTGGTTCATTTCGACATTTTTGATATCTTCTTCGCAGATAATTATTTGTTTTTCGAAGATCAGTGAGCTCGTTATTCCACCAAGGTACAGATTTCAATCTAGGATTTGTTTTAGGAATATATCTATGACATGCTTGTTCAATTGTCTTAATATTAGAATCGAGAGTTTGTTCGATGATTTCTTTGTTAGAAATATTATTCATATTATTATATGTCAATAGATTGTTTGATAGATAGCGGAGCATACCTTCCCAATCAGCCAGAGCTAGATTAAACCTAGGCTTATCTACGGATGCAGTTTGTGCACTGCCGTTGTTTTTAAGCTGAAATGAAATGTAAGCATGATCACTGAGACTACTTTCAGCGAGAACTCTCCAGTTTTCTAACTCAGTTATACATTCTGAACTGCATACTGCAACATCTATCCATGTTTCCCCATAACTAGTTACATAAGTGGGAGGGGATAGCGGATTGTTTAATAATTGTAATCCATTAGTGGCTATAAAATCTTCAAAAATGCCTCCACGGTGGTCATGCTGATAACCGCCCCATGCAGGTGAATGTGCATTTATGTCCCCCGCAATGATAAACCGAGCATTATGAAATTTATTAATTAGATTCTGTAGTTTGTCGATAATAATATTCAGATTCATGTCGCGTGGACAATAAATATTGATAATTATGTAAGTATTGTTATTAAAATAAATTTCATTACATACAATGTATTCATTCGACAAGATCTTGTGATGAAGGATAGTAAAATTGATGTTAGTAATAACATTAATTGCCCAAGGATAGTTTTCAGTGCCCTTAAGAATTGAATAGCGAGTTGGTAAGCATGCCGGATTATTGTGTAGACAATAGGGCTCTTGTATTAAAATAAAATCATATTTGTGGCAGATAGATGCAAGAAGAGAAGTTGCTGAAATACGTTTTCCCAAATTGATCTGCAGAAAACGTATACCGTTATTACTGCTAAATGCCATATTCTGTTCGTTGTATGATGGTATTTTTAACCCGTTGAAAGACAGGGCAGGAGCTATCTCTTGCGTTGTGGTTTAAAGTATTCAGTTTATTGTGATGACAGTTAATACATCTCGGTTTAGTAGTCTTATTAGGGCATTGTTTATATGTATGTTCCCCGGCGCATTGACTACATGTTGGTATTTCTTGTTCACAGTATTTGGTGGAGTGTCCGTATTTACAGCAACGGAAACATTGCATAATAGGGCAGAAGTCTTGAACTCTACATCGAGACCATTGTAAGTTTATTTTTCCAACCATAAGAAGGTATTTCCGAATTTGTGGTGAAACTTCTACCGCCCAATTATGANACCAATTCCAAATTAAATTTCAATTT